TTTATTCATATACACTTTCTTTAAAACAAACTCCTAATTCCTACGCATTGCATGGATCCATTCCTTTTAAGACCTTTGTCCTGCCTTGCCCTTTTTGCCCTTTATCATATATAACACTTTCTTTAAAATATTCTCTTAATACCTACATATTTGGCATTTGAACAAAATTATTACATGGCCGTACCAAAACAGACGTTTGCTCTGCACTACTTTAATGTTTCCTCTGATGATTCATTCTTTATCTTACCCATTCTTGCCAAACCACAAAACCGTCTATATTATATTATTTAAATACGATATATTATACTTAGCAGCGCTACCTGCGTATGTTCCGCTAAAAACTATCCTATCTGTAAATCTGGGATCTATATGTGTACAACATTTCGTTCGGAGTTTGGTGTAAAAGAGTAACAAAAATTCCATCCATACTTTCATTTGTTTTCACGACCTCACTAAAATCTTTATATTAATAAAAATCAAGAAATAGATATTAGACCGTCAAACAAAGATTCCACATAATTATTTATTTACATCTATACATATAAATAGAATTGGTGTGTTTGTTTGTAATACTAAAATAACCGTTTTTTACTACATGCATATGAATATAATACACCAAAATAACATTTTTTACAATTTTTGTCTGTCTGTCTATCTGTTTGTTCCGGATAATCTCTGAAATGGCGTAACCGATTTTGACAGGACTTTTTTGGAAGGTAGCTGAAGTAATAAGGAGTAACTTAGGCTACTTTTATTTTAGGAAAATAAAGTTAAATTCCACGCGGACGAAGTCACGGGTACATCTAGTATTATAATAATATTCAGTAATTTATTTTGCACTTGTATTCGTATTGTATTGTACAATCTTCACTATTCACTATAAGTAAGAAACACTTGTAGATGATGCAATAATATTTGATATTTGCGTATAATTTTGTTCAAATGCCAAATTAGCAATGTGTGAAATAAAAAAGTAATTATCATTTAATTACATGACACTGAATAAAACAAAAGTCACTTTGATGATGATGCAAGTAAAAACTTCAAGTCGACACACACGAATCTTAAATCCGATCCGAAGTCCCTTATATTTATTACAAAAAAAAATATGTTAAGGAAAATCAAGTTATCAAACTAACCTATCTATAATAGATAGACATATAGACAAATTGTGTTTATTCATCATAAGTACAAACAAAAAAAGTTGAAATAAAAAAAGGTCAGGCTTACGATGAGAAGGCGTTTAACTCATCAAATTTAAGGATACGGAAAAATTCGTTCACGTACTTGGAAATTAAGATGATTACCGAGTAAAATTCATCGCCACATATTTTAGTCGCAATATCTGAAATAAGAACCATGACGCGTTTAAAATTAACTATTATTCTACGACGCAACAGTTAGCAACCAATGAACTATGATTAACATGAACTTGTTTACGCGATTTAAAGACTAAATCGGCCAAGATTACTGTTTCCTGTTGACATTGCCAAAATTCAGCGATGTGACTTCGCTTTTATAAAAAAAAAAAGAGGGAATGTTTTAAGTACGTCTATGACTCTTATTATCGTAGAGAAACTACCAAATTATTAGAGGTAGAGTGTAAAATGATGTGTGCGTTGGGTACCTCAGTCACCAAGCAGCTTGCTTTGTAAGATGTGTTTTCGTTGTAAGGTGCAATTAGGCAGTGAAATACAGAACGAGAAGCATTACATCATTATGCTCTGGAATGGCAATGCAGTCGAATCATGATAACACAATGTCCATAGTGGTGTTCTAGAACCATTTAGCAACAGGAAAGCCGTCAGATTGTCTGCTATTCAAATAGCATAGAAAAAGCTAGCTCTATCGACGACAAACGAGTGGCGAGACAACCAAAAAATACGCGATTAGAACTTTATCGCGTTACGATAAGGTTCAAAAATAAGTAGGATGCAATCATGTCGGATTCGCTGATGACCGTACACGTACCGCTGGCGTATGCCCAATATCAAGACCGTCAAATATTCGGCAAATGTCAAGGCGCGCCCGAGGTCGACACACTTTCAAGTTTCTTCCCCAGAACAAAAGATTCGGTTCGTGAGCAATCTGTAATCTAATTACAGAATTATAACGAACACAACCAAAATGCAGACTAACACGGCATCCTACAAAAACTAATATCAAGTGTTGGTTACATTTTTATCTTTAGCAACGTTATGATAAAGTTCAATTCTAATTAGTAATTGTTTATTAACATTCAAATTGCTTTTGAAGACATAAATATTCTAATTGCTATTTGGACTTTGGCGAGTTACCTAATTAAAACCCTAAATTGTGATCATAGAATACTGGTACGTTGCAACATCCAAAATTTCACTCGAATGTTCTTACAGGGGTATTTATTGGTCATGTCTTAATTAAGAAATAGTATAGTATTCCCCGTCGATACCAACTATATGGTCGATTATAATAAACGTAAAAATCCAAAGCAAATAATCGTAACAGGACAATATTTTTGGCCACTTATGCACTTCAGTTTTATAATTATTTTTAACCGTACTGTACATTTCAGCTTGCGGCATCATTTCAGAAGAACTGGCAATAAACTGAAACGGTATATTATTAGTATATTCAAAACATTTGTTAAAAAGTTATTTAACCTCGAAGTTAATTCGTGACGACGACTACGCGACTATAATCGGTTCAGATGCTCCTTGTAGATTAAGACTATCTTAATCCACAAGGAACATCTCAACCGATCTAGATACAACACAGTAAATGTACGGAATTAGCAACAATTGTTAGCAGACCGTTGCCCCCGACGGGCGTTAGTCGTGCTGCACCTGCGAAATACATGCGTTTTATCTGCACACCGCTCTGGTACATATCTGCTACTGTTGGATCTCCGGTGACTCACGCCAACCGGTCTTTGACTTGGATTATGTTGCAGATTCAACCATGTGAACTGCTAAAGTAATTGCTCATTGACATCTAATTTTATTTTGGATTTCTTCAATTCAAAAGTTTAGTGCAATTGTCAAGTTTTTACCCATATTCTTAGTAACTTAAATACGGTACGTACACCAAAATAATGTTTTTTTAAATTTTTGTCTGTTTGTTCCGGCTAATTTCTGAAATGACTGGACCTATTTTGACGGGACTTTTATTGACAGGTAGCTAATGTAATAAGGCTAAGCCTAAGTTACTTAGGCTACTTTTATTTTGGACAAAATCTTATTTTAGAAAACTTAAATTAAATTCTACGCGAAGTTGCTGCAGCTAGTAAAGAATAAATAAATAAATAAAAATACGGTAATAGCACAACGTTTTACTTGGCATTGTGTAAATGAGTAATGTACATATCAAATACATGTTCATATTACTAAAACAACAGTTACCAGTTATGTCATGGTTGAAACCAAGGGGTCTGCTTGGAAACAATAATATATATGTAGGAGGAAAATTATGATCTTTTCTAATATTAAATTGTTTAGTTAATACGAAACACATTGACATTCAATTAGAATTAAATTACAATGTGTTATAAACCAAATATTTTTTATTAAATCCATAATATGACTCAAAGCAATACACGGATCATCGCATATGGTTTATATCGACATTTTCAAATGTATAATTTCGCAAAAGATCTCTAGAATTATGCCTCTACTCTCCCAGATTTGAATTTTAATGACTGTGTATTATTGTAAACATGTACAATTTTTATTTGAAAAAAATACGAGCTGAGTTTCTTGTTAGTTCTCATCTTAAAATCATTCCGAACTGACGGTAGATTTGACATACCATAAGACTCTGTAATAGACCTACATGAATAAAGATATTTTGAATTTGAATTACAAGACCTTGTAATATATACTGTTTAAATTACTAAATCGTATTTATGTAACGATTGTCTGGCATATTTTCTGTTTTTTTACACTATCAATATAAAAACAAAGATCGTTTGCTTCCCTGGTAATTGTAGATTTAACGTCTCAACTAAGAAATTTGGCACACACTAAAATTTGAACTGATGACAGATATTACGACCAATCGATATATCTCTGCTTGTTTACGAGTAACATATACTGTTATTTATAACATTTAATTTTATTGAATATATTAATTACAAAACACAAACAAATGAAGAATATAGCACAGTACCTAATTTCATAATTTTTTTAACATTAAATCCAGTCGTCTCACGATGCTGTCAAATTGCGGTTGTGAATATGATATCATTACTAAATTAGTCAAATGGCCCACACGTGCAGTACAATCGGGACCTTTTATAGTTAACAATACGGTTCAAAATACTAAAGCTACACGCCGCCTTATTTCTAAACGAACAATAAACTCTATATTCTAAAACAAATATAGAAAACCAGCTCGATTATTTGAAAGAAAATTTATGTAAGGGTATAGAATAAGTATGGAAACGTAATCTGCTTAATGGAGATCTAATTACTGCAATATAACATGCATTAGAAGAATTATAGACAGCAGGTAAGGAGAACACATTAGAAGCCACACACAAAGATTTAGCAAACGTTAATAACCGCTACAAGTTAGAAGAGTGAGATGTGATAGCAAATAGCACTATAAATAGTGAAACAATTGAAACGTGGCAGGTGCATGAGGCTCGTGGTACAGCAAAAACGTTAAATATACAGGATTCACCGGCGCATCGTCTCCACGAGCACTATATTTACACATAATGGAGGCGCAGTGACTTGGAGAATAAAGAACAGAAATAGTCATACGCAACACGCTCTTTAGTGGACAATAAACACATAAACATCGTAATTAAACAACTCGGTGCTAATAAACAGAGCGTTCATATTGTGCATGGACGATTTGGTAATACCATAAAGGAATTATTTATTAAAACCAAATTGTTTGGTTTACCGTTTGGCGTAGTTGCTTTATCCTAGTCTCAATCGAAATTTCGAGAGCTCTGTTCATTAGCACGAAACGGATTACCGATTATACAAGTGTGTGTGAATGTGTACACGTACGATACATCCAGAGGCGTAAGTGGAGGTAGGGCAGGTGGGGTCGGCGGCCCGGACCCTGCATCCCACCTTATAACAAATAGAGAAAACATCCTTCGATTAAACAGTCCAAAGTCGGGCCCCATACACCACTTACGCTTCTGGCTGCTCGCAGATAGGATCTTCGTACGATCCCTGGAAACTTCGAGACGAATGCCACATATGTGCAAGAATTCGAATGATTAAGCGCGATTGTTACTTCTCTGGTTCCAAGAAGCTTTCTTGTGCGGAAAGCTGCAAAACGGCATCGAATTGGTGCCTTGTGAACGTCATGCAAACCCTGACTGCTGGCATACGAGCATTTAGAGCATAGTGGTGCTATGGAGCCGGATATAATACTACACTATACTAATACTATCTGTTACACCTTACAAATCTAAGCAAATTACAAATATAAAGTTAATGCTCTTAAATGAACACTACTAAAAATAGAGTATAATACCGCATTATTAAAATAGTCTGAGGAAAATTAAGGACGCGATTATCGTACAAAACTTGAAGGTCTCCTCTCCTACCGAATAAATTAATTAAAATGGAAATAAAAGTTGATTATTTATTCCTAAAGCAATTCGTTGTAATAGAATTTAAAACGATCCATATAAAGGCAGCTACGCTTGTGCTAGTATTTTTATATCTTTAGTTCAAATTGGAAACAAATGAGGTAGTAACTACCAATTACACATTTACGATGGTCATCAGTATAACGTTTAAATATAAATGCCTAATCAAATCAATATAAATCTAAATATATCTTATATTCATGTAGGTCTATTATGATAAGTCAAATCTATTAGATAGGATAACGTAAATGTTATATTTAAAAAACACCAGTTGTACGTAATGTCCAACGATTTATCACACGTGCAGCAACCACGAGTTGCTGAAAGATCTATTGCACATTAAGATAAGATAAGGCGCTTGTTGAAAGAAAAAACCGTGGACTCGATCAACAGACGTGTAATGTTTTTTTAATATACAAATTCTACTGTATATTCGTGTGATATTTCCTTATCGACATTTGCCTCATTCTATATTTTATTAATAGACTTAGTGTAGTCTAGGCTTGATTTGCAAGTACAAAGACGTCTAATAATTCATTGGAAAAAAATATACCTAGACAATTTTGTTATAGAATAGAAAAAAAATCATTTATTCAATAAACTTAATTTAAGCACTTTTTTTTATACTACGATGGTGGCAATCAAGCATACAGCCCATCTGATGGTAAATGGTTACCGTAGCCTTTACTTTTGAATAGTCATAGTTATTACAGAATCATTATAATTTCGTACACTTATAGTTTACTACCACTGCTTCTGGGGACACTGATTAGACTATTTGCTTTTGCAATAACATATGCTAGTGGTCACTTTCCCAAATTTGAATTTTAACATAAATCTGTATCATTGTAAACATGTACATTATTTGAAAAGAATACGAGCTGAGTTTCTTGTCAGTTCTTCTCATCTCGAAATGATTTCGACCTGACGGTAGATTTGACATATCATAAGAGCCTGTAATAGGCTTACATAAATAAAGATATTTTGGACTGAAATCTTTTTAATTAAATTCATTTACAAGAGTGGACGATGCGATAGTTATTATCGACCCATTGTTTCTGCAGCCATAAGTGTGCGGTCTCATAGTCATAATTAGCGCTCTTGCAGCGCTGTCATTGTGGCCTTGCCCCGAGTTTCAACTAACCGATTACTCCAAATAAAATTAACCATACATGTTTCTTTATTCTTCTGTTTAATCTATACCGTATTCAAGTGACAATAAGATCTATTCTTCAATGGCTAACCATCTGTTGCAATAGTAACTCAGTATTGACTTTAGAATTCACTATAAAGTTGTATAGACTAAACATCTGTTGGAAGGGTAACTCAGTATTGACTTGAGAATTCACTATAAGGTTGTATAGACTAAACGTCTGTTGGAAGGGTAACTCAGTATTGACTTGAGAATTCACTATAAGGTTATATGGACTAAACGTCTGTTGGAAGGGTAACTCAGTATTGACTTGAGAATGCACTATAAGATTGTGGCGCGGCCTTGGCCCGAGTTTCAACTAACCGATTATTCCAAATACAACTAACCATACGTGTTTCATTTCGAAAATCGCTTTTCTAGATCAGTCAATTGAGTTATATTTCCCTTAATTTCCACCGACTTATATATATTTAGTAGCTGACACGGCAAACATGTTTTGATATACATAACTTAAATTATTAATATTGCCATTAATGAATAATAAATAGTGGTTGACGAAAGATAGATCAAAATTTTTGGTTTATGTATTTTCGAGGCCAAAAGAATACCATAACATTCTATGTGCTTACTAGCTGTATACCACGTGGAATTTAACTTTATTTTCTAAAATAAAAGTAGCCTAAGTTACTCCTTATTACATAAGCTACCTGCCAAAAAAGTCCCGTCAAAATCGGTCCAGCCATTTCAGAGATTAACCGGACCAAACAGACAGACAGACAAATATTGTAAAAAAAATGTTATTCTGGTGTATGTACCGTATTTATATTCATAACCATGTAATTAAAAACGATTATTTCAACATTACAAAGAGACACTATAATTTTATTTATATGTATAGATGATAAAGGAAGTTTCTGTAGGGATCTGTATCATTTTACATCGATAGTAATCTGCATTGCAAGCCATCCGCTAGCAACAGTCGGGCCGACATGCGAAACGTCAATTACAGCCAGTCACGACTTGAAATGCAAAACAGTTTCAACAAATCAATATTTTGTATTCATGTGACACTTGCGAATAGATAGGCCGACGTGGTGTAGCGGTTTAGTTTTTACTTCCGTTAGTCGCTGGTTCGATTCCTCGCACGGTACAGATTTGTATTCATGAGTATGAATGTTTATATGTATTTATGAATTTATTAGGCTTTGACGACCCACCTGATGGTAAGCAGTAACCGTTATATACATTCATCACGTTATCTACATGATAACGTGATGAATGTATACAAAGCCAGTGATAGCTCGCTAACGCTCAATAAATATGATTTAACAAATGTGTTTGAATTTATTTAAAGGTAATTCCAGTATATATAAATTCAATTTCAAGAATAATTTATTTCTGGAGGACATTTTAGCCGCTTATGAATGTCAAATTTTTTATATATACTTTTTCCCTACCATGCATTTCAGTATACAGATCCAATTGAGAAGTAATGGCAAGACACAATTGAATTTCTTCATTTTTTTTAAATGCCAGTTTATTTAAAATACACTATATACAAATATATATATACTAGCTGTGACCGCAAGTTCGTTCGCACAGCGCACGTAACGAAAGCCTTCAAATATGAATAATTTTCCCCATTCTTGCAACATTTTTCACTGATGCTTCGCTCCTATTGGTCGTAGCGTAATGTTATATAGCTTAAAGCCTTCCTCGACAAATGGACTATCCAACACAAAAAGAATTTTCAATTCGAACCCGTAGTTCCTGAGATTTGCGCGTTCAAACAAACAAACTCTTCAGCTTTATAATATTAGTATAGAGATACATATCTATAATATAAAAATGAATCACTAAATGTGTTGGTAAGCGCTAATCTCGAGAACTACTGAACCGATTTCGATAATTCTTTTTTTAGAATATTTCTTGAGGTACGAGGATGGTTCTTACGGAGAGAAAAATTTTAAAAATTGCCTAAAAATGCCTAAAAACAACGCTTTTCTGTAATCCCATACAAACGATTCTTAATGATACTTAAAAGTCAATTTGAACTTTAATACCATACCATAAAGTTCAAGTGTAAGTAGAGAGGTTCCGGGAAGGCATGTGACAATATTAGTCAAAAACAGGTGGTCAGTGGTAAAATAAATTTATAATTCAAAGCATCCATTACCTATATGACGTCTCGTAAATGCAATCAATTGAAATACTATCCGTATTACAATTGATTGCATTTACGAGACGTGTACAGTACACGACGAACGTAACCTTGCACAAGTGGACGAGGTTACTGCTGTAATGAAAATCCATTACATCTTCATTAAATACAAACATTATGAGAACAATAATATTATGTAATAATATTTATCCATTCAAATGACCATGTTTGCTGATGGAATATTGCATTGTTTAATTTGTTTCAGAATATATTGTACACAGATTTTAATAATGACGCCACGGAATGTTCTAGAAGGAGTGCAAAATTGTATATAAAATAACATTGATGTTCCATGCCTGACGTTCCAAATTTGAATTTATATAATTTTATTTTTAAATATATTAAATGGCTATTTGCGATCGCAAACAGACCATATAGACTTATTTTTAATAACAATAAAAACAATGAGAATAATAATAATAAATTAACTTTCATGTCATACAAATATACATAATTCCTCAATATCAATTTTCTATATTAACAATTACAAAAAACAATCATTGTAAAAAACCAGCAAAAGCTGAGTTACTGAGACTATGTACTATGATATTTCTATGTACAATGAGAATAATAATAATAAATTGTGTTTATAAATAATTTTGGGCACATTACATATATAATGGTATATAAAACGTGGTCCACGCAAAACCTTGTTATATCAAGGGCATATCCATCTCGTTATAATACTAGTAAATAACCCTGAATAATTAACACAGCGCCATCTAGTACCACAGTAAGCAGAGCTTGTGTTATGAGTACTAGACTACTGATATAAACACTTAGTCGTATATTCAAATTCAAAATATCTTTATTCATGTAGGTCTATCACTGACTCTTATGATATATCAAATCTACCGTCAGTTCGGAATGATTGAAACTCAGCTCGTATTCTTTTCAAATAAATGTTGTACATGTTTACAATAATACAGATTCATTTAAATTCAAATTTGGAAGAATACAGTGACCTATATATAACCTATATGTAAATACATACACAACATATATAGAAAACACCCAGACTGATTCAAGCAATCATACTCATGAATACACAATGTTTGCACCGAAGAATCGAACCGGCGACCATCGTAAGTAAAGC